AGGGCAGATGGAAGCATGGCAGATGTGAGGGATGGGAAGCTGAGAGAGTGAAGGTAGAACATAGTGCAAACAAAGACTAGTGGGTATATGGTCCACACAGGTCATGATAGAGAGTTTTGTCTTTATCCTAAGAACAATGAGAAGTCACTGAAGGTGTTTAAGCAAGGGGTGAAGAAATTAGAGAACCGCATCTTGAGAAGTGTTGAAAACAGACTGGAAGAGATCGGGCTAGTCAGGAAGTGAGAGATGGTAGAAACTTTAATAGAGTGGGGGTGGAAATGGAGTGGACAGACTGTAAAGCTGTTTAGAGAGTAAAATGGGTAAGACTTGGTTGTGAGTTGGATATAAAGTAGTATGGGAGAGGGCAAGGTCAAGAATGATTCCTGGGCTTCTGCCTTGCACAATGGGAAACAGAGAACTCAAGAGTCAGGTTTGGGAGATCATGAGTTTTGCTCATGTAAGGTATGAGGTGCCTTTGAGGTGTTCCAGAGAAAATATTAAGTAGATAATTGGATACATGAGGCCAGAGCTCAGAGATGAATGTGAGAGTCTTCAGCATATTAAGTGGTCACTGAAGCTACCATCATGGATGAGATCACCTAGAGTGGGGAGGAGAGAGGAGTAAGATGAAATGCTCAAAGTGGCTTCTCACAAAATTTTCCTCTTGCACAGAGATGACCCTTCCTTAGTGTAACAGAAGTTTTACTATTATCATCTGTGTGACCATTCTTTTTCTGCAAAGAGTCTAAGCATAAATAGAGAAGGTGATGGGTTACAGGAGGAAAACTTTTTTCTAACTGTGATTTTACATTCTGCTGTGGTTCAGGGAAGGAAAACAAACATTGTCTGAAAGGAATATATGTAGATTATAGAAAAGGAAGCAAGTGAATTGGTCCCCAAGGGTCTGCTACTGGGGTATCTGCTCCTGCTCTCCAGTGAGAGCTCTAGCACTCTGGGAGCATGCTGATGCATTATGGGGAGGTTTTATAGTACTGTCACTACACAGATGTTCTTCAGGCTTTTTCTCTATTAAATAGGTTGTTTTTATGGACTGACCCAGGCAACAGTCCACCAGGTATAGCATTGTTTTGTTTTGTTTTTTCTGAGATGTGTTCTCAGTTCTCAAAAGCAACTTTTAGAAAGCAGCCTCTTCATATATTGGGGATTTCTGTAGTTAGAGGTTTGTTACTTGTAGGGTCAGAGATTCATGAAGGATCCTATGGAGCCTGCAAGAATGTGGAATCACAAAGCCATGACAGAAGTGGTCAGCAGGGTAAGATGCTCCAAAGAATTGACATTGAGAAAGTCTTTGATTGACAATGTGTGGATCAGTGATAAGGTTAGCAGCGCATTTTCAGTGGCACCAGGTTGCAGGAGTGCCTAGTGGTTGAGGAAGCAAAGGCAGTGGTCTAGACTCTTAAATCTCCAAATGGGATCTTAGGACCAGCAGCAGCAACAGCATCAGAAATGCAGAATCTCAGCTTCTGCCTCAGACTTAACCAATCAGAACCTGCATTTAAACAAAATCTCTCAGTGATTCTTAAGCACATTAAAGTCTGAAAAGCATTGCTCTGGACCGCTCTTTCAAGAAGTTTGGCAATGGTAGATAAGAGGATAAAAGCTAGAGGAGAGGGACAGATTGGAAGTGGAAATGCAAGAGAGAGAAGATCCCAAGAGAAGGCGGCCAGGATCTTCTGATTAACCTGGGAAAAGAGATGGGACTCTCTTCCTTTGGTCAGAAAAATGGGAAAGAGGAATGGAAGAGAAAGTGTGAAGTAGATAACCGAGAAAACTTTGTGGATGGATGACCCACTTCTTCCCAATAAAATTGCTGGCAAGGTCAACCACTGAGGAGGAGGAGAAAGAGAACTTTTAAGCCAAACAATACTCCATAGTTTAGAAACTCCCTTCTTTAACTCAGAAGGCTCTAGTTTAAATGACATTTACTTTTGGTTAACATTTCTTTGCTTGTTTTTCCTGTACCTCCTTTAAACAAGTATGCATCAATATATAAAATTATTAAATACTTTAATGACAATTTACAATAAAACTTTTGCATTTGTACAAATAGCTTGGGGGGTGTGAGTGTAAGATGAGCCATGAACTTCACTAGGGCCAACATTATATGTTAATAGCTTGCCGACATTATTAAGTCAAGTAAATATCATGGTTACAAAAATGTATAAAACATAAAAGAACAAAAAAATTAACCTTTATCTACAGTTTTTATGTTTGTAAAGTTTGCTAAATCAATAAAATGATCTGAAAAGTTCATCTCATATCAGATATATTAGTGATTTTCTTCATTGGTTTTCTGGTGACCATTTATCAAGAGGTATAGAATCCTGAATATGAATGGGGAAATAAAAAGCTTGACATGCTTGCCTCTTATATAAACTAAATATTTGATTTATAAGACACAAATGAACAAACTTCTATGGCCTGTCATGTTTTCTCAGTTTCTAATTTATTCAACCTCTGCTCAATATTGATCCTGACAAGCAGAGTGGCCCAAAGATAAATTTATTCATTCCACAGTTTAGTCAGGAACAAGCCAAAAATTATAGATTTTCCCAGGCAGATGATGACAGGCAGTCAGGGGAATGACAAATGGCTGTCTTTAGATTTAGTAAGGACAGTTGGGCCAGACATTTCCGATAAAGCTTGGTGCAAGCTGGTCAAATACAGGTTCATCAGTGGTCATCATTAATCGTAGAGAGAGCATTGCCGTGATGCAGACGCCTATACGGCAGCTTGAGCACCAGCCCTGCAGGGGAAATAGAATTTGCTCCTCAGTATTTTGCAGCACTCCTCTAAGTGATAGCATGACATGATCATTTATCAAACAGAGACTGTACAGAAAAGTGTCTGCTTCCTTTAGTAACTTATTGAAGAGTGGGAAAGTGAAAGCTTTTTATTAAAGACAGGAAGGCAATGAACAACCAGAGCGTATCCAAAGGGTAATCGTATTTCAGCACAGGATTAGTTTAGTCTTAAATAAACACACACTGGAGGGAGTATGTCGAGGGTCATTTATCAAGTGAGGAACAATTAACTAAACTCTAAGCACTCTTTTTACCTATATCAATTTAAAGTTCTCTTATTGTTATTATTACTTAATTTTTGGATGATGGGCATCATATTCAACACTGTTCAAAAATGTAATGCACAATCCCTTCCTTAGAGGTTTTTAGAATAAGAGAAATACAGTGTAACTTGCATATAAAATAAGTATGGCTGTATTAAATGCTATTGAACAAATGCTGTGGAGAGGGCACATTCCAGGGCACAGGACTGAGGGCTGAAGTTATAATTTGTGAAGAGAGATTTCTTATAAGAACTACTACTTACAACTATTTATTACTCGGTAGGTCAAAAAATTTCTTCTTCCTTACAATGTTTTTGCTCTCTGTTGATAAAAATTAAGAGAAAGGGAATTAGCTGAGAAGGAGTGCAGGGCAGGCAAAGAGGCAGAGAACTAACACATGTATTATTTACCTGATTTGTGCCAGGCATTTTATTTACTTATTTATTTATTTATTTATTTGTGTATTTATTTATTTTGAGACAGGGTCTCGACCTGTGGCCCAGGCTAGAGTGCAGTGGCACCATCATAGCTCACTGTAACCTCAGACTCCTGGGCTCAAACAATCTCCTGCCTTAGCCTCTCAAGTAGTTGGGATTATAGGCGAGAGCCACTGCATCCTGCTCCCTGTCCCAGGCACTTTATATGCCATGGCAACTAATCCTAATTAATCTCACTTTATAAATGAAGACATAGACTTGCCTAACGTCACATAGTGCCAGAAAGTTTAAGATTGCCTTTTTTTTTTTTTAACAATCCCTTATATTTTCACATAAATTATTTATTTGGGTTCCTCAGAGTCAAGCACAGACTAAATTCACAGCATATATGCACAGGAAATGAAATCACTATTTCGAAGTGATAGCTGCACTCTCATGTTCATTGCAGCATTATTAGCAATAGCCAAGATATGGAAACAAAGTGCACTACTTTTTTTGAATAATTTGTTATAGATCAAATTTATATCTGATTTTAAAAATAAAAAACAGAACTTTGGGACATATATAAGATATACTCAAAGTATGTTTCATTTCCACTAAACAGTAGTTAAGATAAAATACATTCTTTGAATAAAGAAGAAGGGGAGAAAGCAAGAAATGACAGAACGACAAGGTACTGGAGAGAAAGCATGACACTGGATGGGAAAAGAAACACCACCAGGGACAAAGAAGATGTGAAGAGAGCAAACTGAGAGAGCTGGTTCTTAATCTATTTTTCTCACATTTTTTGGGTTGTAGACCATGCAAAAACTTAATTATTCCTTGAAATGTCAATTAGCTGATTTTCTTGTAAGCTATAAAAACATGCAAATGTTTATGATATAATGTAAAATAGTACCCACCATATGATGACAAAAAAGAAGTCTAGAAGGATATAGAACAACATACTAAAGTGATCTTTGGGTGATAAGCATGCAAGTGATTTTTTTTGCCTTTGTTCTATTTTCCCCTTTGATAGTTTTTTTTTTTTTACAGGTTTTAAAAGTGAATGTCCATTCTTTATAAAAATAAAAAGCAACAATGTATATTGTTTTCAATGCCAATAGACTGCTTACTCACTACTTCTTAATTGCCTGAACCTGTAAATTTCTCTATACTCCACTAAGAGTTAGGGCATCTTCTGTAGCAAAATGTTTTCTGAGCTACTGGTTGGGACCATTGAAGGGAACATGACAGAGAACAGTTCTGTGGCCCCCAACTTAGGGCCTCACTTTTTGCCTTATCTTCAGCCCCTTCTATTATCAGTATAGAACATTTTATTCAAAATTTAGTTATTATGCACCTTTAAAGTACCTGGCTCTGAGCTAGAACTGCATGAAAGGCAGTAATTACCTTTAAAAACAGTTAACTGACATGCTAGAAGTATTGATAATTATGAAATATTTGTGCTTTGCTTTTTCTTCTCTAAATTATAGGATTTGGAGTATTTATTGAACAAGTTGATGAAGTTGTGGAAAATGGATCTAAATGGAAATCCTGTTTGTCTCAAACCAAAATACAGGGACAGACTGATATTGGTGTCCAAATCACTAGGTACATGTTTATATTAATATAATTTTCTTAGAGAAAGAAACCTAGTTAACTTTTTAGTTTATCAGCAGCCTTTCATAAATATAAATATGACATATATATTTTCATATATCTATGAAAATGGTCAACTTGAAATTTAATATTTTTCATGAGAGCAAAAGTTAATATTGAGAAATAAAGCATGAAAAATATATGCTGATCAGAAATAAAGCACCAGATGCTCTTTCTTTAAGGAGAAAATGTGGCTATTACCAATCAAAATGGTTTAGTCATAAATGTGTAGAATTTGCTGACCTTTTGCCAAACTTTCATTGGCACAAATCTGATGATGATACCAAGAAACTCCTTAGCTCTTGGTTCTGTAGATAAAATTGACCAAGGTTTTCAGTTGCTTGACATTTGCCAAATAAATAGTACTCTAAAGAACATATAGAAGTGCCTTTCATTTGAAAGGGGAGCAGGGTGGGGAGTCCCTGTATGAGATCCATACAAATAATAACATTCCTGAATATGCACTATATTGAGGGAAATGGACCAAAGCACTTGGCTAATAGTGACCAAGGGACATAGCATCAGAGAGACAGGCAGTGCCCTCTCACGAAGTACACTCGTGCGTGATTTTCCTGCATCAGAACTTCTGTGACATGCTGTACTTGGGGATAAAAACTGATGTATGACAAAACTCCTTCATTAGCTATAGTAAACCTCGATTAATCATAACCTTAGTTCAGCGGTTCTCTGGAGGGAAAAGAGAGCATATCAGAAAAATCCAAGATGTTTTTTCAAAATACATATGCGAGGGCCACACTCCGCCCATGAGGGTAGGGAACAGAGAATACATAGGGAGAATATTCAGGTATATTTTTTAAAATCTCTATAGATGATTCTACTATTTAATCCCCCATCCCAACCTCTCATTCCTTCCCCTCTCTGCCCACCACATACAATTGTATTAGTCCACTTTCCTTGGAAAGTAAAGTTAATACAATTAATGTTTGACGATTAAGAACCTTCCAATGTTCATGTAACCATTTCTGGAAATGTTCATGATACCGTACTGTAGGTGAGACTGTAAAAGATGTAGAGATAAGTATATTGACTTCCAAATAAAGAGGATGTACTGAAAATTTATCTTGAAAAAATATTCTTTTCTGTAGCATGTTTTCTGATTACAAAATTAATACATATTTCTTGTAAAAATATAGAAAAGAAAAATATCACTTAAAATCCTGCCATAGATATGCTGTTAACATTTAGTATATGTACTTCTAGTCTTTTTTCTATGCACATATACACGTATAACAAATTCTCTTTGATTTTAGCTTGTCTTATTCTGATTTCTTTCTTCTTCCTAAATGTAAAGTCAAAAAACACAGAGTTAATTGAGGGCCTGGTTTGTTGCATCCCAGTCAAAAAGGACTATGGGAGCCATTTTATGTTTTGCAGGTTACCTAGTCCTCACCAAATAGAGTGACAATCCACATATTTGGTTTCCTTAGCATTAGTGGAAGCAAATTTTGTGTTGAGAGTAACCCGTTAAAATGAAATAAGTCACATAGGTCTCTGTGTCCATCTTGTGTCCATTACTTGGCTTCCCCTCTGGAACCACTTCTACACCTATTAGCCTCAAGTAAGCCTCTGTCATTTGCTAGAAATGATACAATATCAGGTTAAATGAGGCACAATCTCCTAGTCATTCCTCAGCTCTGTCTGGGACATTCACATGAGCAAGAAAGGATTATGGTAAAAGACTTGGATTGTTAATTCCTTATCTTTATAACAGATGTTTTAAAAATATGTATTGATATAGTCCCAGCTACTGGGGAGGCTGAGATAGGAGGATCACTTGAGCCCAGGAGTTTGAGGATGCAGTGAGCTATGATCATGCCACTGCACTCTAACCCAGGCAACAGAGCAAGACTCTTGTCTCTTAATATATTAACAAATTATATAATTATTAATAAAAATGGGTATGGAAAGATATCAAATAAATACAAGTGGTTGGGAAACCTGAGCATAAAAGAATGACCTTTAATGTAAAGTTATAAGTACTAAGATTTTGACAATAAAACATTTAGCCAATTTCTTATAGTTTAGAGAGTGCTATTGTTCAATGAAAAAAAGTACATGAGATAAGATATGAAAACACTTTTACTTCTAGAAATTATGGTTCTAGTTTATATTTCCTATTTCATCATTTTATTTTATACTTTGGATATAACACAATATTATGGATCATATTTAAATGGCAGTGTTAACTTTTTAGTAGTGCAACTAATATTTTATCAGAATATTGTCATTTTCCATGAAAGAATATGATCTAATAAATTTTATTACATCCTTTCTACATTCTGGGATCTAGCAGAAGACATTACATGGATGATGAGAGAAAATATCTAATTTTAAAATCTACTATACAGAAGCTGGGGGTGGTGGCATACACCTACAGTCGCAGCTACTCGGGAGGTTGAGGCAGGAGGATCACTTGAGCCCAGGAGTTCAAGGCTGCAGTGAGCTATGATCATACCACTGCATTCTAGCCTGGGCAACAGAGCAAGATCCTGTTTATAAAAAATAAATTAAAAAAAAACCTACTACACAGAAACTTTATTGGAAAAAAATAGTTTTCCTATTAAATGAAGGCCATCTGTATTCATGTGATTAAAAAATTAATATAGGTAATATAGAATGTCCTATAATAAGGGAATTTTCCAAATATCTTACAACATGTAAAAGTTATTTGTGCAATTTAAGAAGCTCAATTTTTGCTTTTTCCTAAGAATAATAATCATAATATTCTTTAAACCAATAGATAATATGATTTAATTTTTGAGTATAACAACATTTTTGTTTTTAAAAATAATAATATAGTTTACATATGACCCTAGAAGGGGGGACCATGTACCAAATTGATTACAGTTATCTTTGGCAATGATAAGAAGGAGAGGTACAGATAATAATTACAGAGCCTTTATATGTTTAAGCACATATTCTTTTTGAAATCAGAAGAAAATCTAAAAATAAATAAAAGCTCAACAAAAGTACATAAGTTGTGTAAACAATGTATTTTAAAAAGAAATTCATTTCAGCTTATGGTGTAACTTAAGTTTGTGTAGCCTAAACCAGAAGTGTATATTTTCACTTATATATTAATTATTTACATGTATATATTGTATTTTTTAAACATATGTATTTTTCTCCAGAATTTCTTGATGGAAAAGAAATTAAAAATGTGGAAAGACAATTCCTAATGAATTGGAAAGCATCCAAAGATGCCAAAAAAATCTGCAAGAAAAAAAGCAGTAAAAATGAGGATGCAAGCAACTCATATATAAGTAAGCATACTGTCACTCATTAACTGACCACTTCTTCTAGTAAAGAGAATATTCTAACCAACAACAAAAAAAAAAAATGCCAAGAAATAAGGGGTTTTTCTTTACGTGTTTTAAGTTTTTTTGCTGTTTTTTTTTAACTTTTGTATATAAAGATAAATACAATTTATCTTGTATAGGAAATTGTACCTATAATGTTTATATGTAAAAATGGTAGCTACTATGAACAAAAGCTGTGTTTGGTTCATATTGGGTATGACTATATCAGCCATATAAACATAGAGCCATGAGGGTGGGGAAAAATGTATAATTTTATATTTAGAAAAAGTGCATGATATCAGTTATGCAATGATGAAACAACAATCAGCTAAGTAAATTGTGAAACCAAGCCACTAGTATATTTGTTTAGCAACCATGCAATAATCACTTTTTTCATGAGGATAGAAAATAAAAATGTATCACGACCAACATGTGTGGCCTGTACTCTGTGGCCTATCCCCCCACGCACCCCAACAACTGAATACTTGGATTATAATATGCCTAAAGTTGTGTTACAAAGGACATACCAACCTCCCTTGCCTAACTAATGTAACTAAGTATAACTAAGTGTAATGTGTAACATTTCTCTCCATTATATCAGGGAGCATCCAAGAATTGACTCTTCATAGATTTTGTAGTTCACAACATTGGAATAATCCCCTTCCTCCTTCCCATGATAGTGTTTGAATGCTGATGTTCTTGTTCCACAGCTGACTATGGCAGGGAAAGGGGGCATGGCAAAGGGGTTAGGCCCGGGGAAAAGGGAAAGGGAAACTGAAACAGTATAATGAGGCTTTGGGCATGGATAGCACATCCTAGGAGCTCTGTCACTGTACAAGGAGGCTGAAGTGAGGAGAAGCTGGCAGGGAAAGGCATGGAGCTCTGGTGATTTTGCCATTTCATGTCCATTGAATATGAACTATAGAAAAGCATTTAATAGAATGGGACTTTCTTAGCTGATAGTGATACTGTGTTGGCAATGTGCATTTCTCAAGGTTTGAAATTTGTAAAATAGTTAGGAGGTACTTTCTCCTCTGTTTATCCTTGGCTAGCTGTGAAGGGCAAAACTAGACCCAGGGTAGGGGTTCCAGTATTTTATGTATTTTCAATATTACATCAAAGATGCCAAAGCACCTTATTAATATTGAAGTTCTCATAAGATTCAATACTGCCTTCACCCCAGAATTGAGCTGATTCTAAAAATAACATAGTTTTCTTCATCTCAATAGATTTCAAAAATTCTTCCTAATTCAGGGATTATTACATTAATGGTTAACTTCTCGGAACAATGAAATTTGACAAAATAATAATTTTAATGTGTCAAAGTTTATAATTTTTAAAAATTAGTCATTTAATTTTTTCAAAACAATCCTTATTAATCTCTCTATAATTTAGTGTGAGCCCTAAATAACAAAAACAATCTTTAAAGTCATATAGACACATTAACAACAAACTATCTGAAAAGGAAATTAGGAAAACAATCCCACTTAAGATAGAAACAAAATGAATAAAATACCCAGGAATAAATTTAACTTAGGAGGTAAAAGACTTGTATACCAAAAACTACAAAACACTGATGAAAAAGTTAAACAAGACACAAATGAAAAGACATCCCATGTTCATGAATTGGAAGACTTAATATTGTTAAAATATCCGTAAGACCCAAAGTGATCTACAGATTCAGTACAATCCCTATCAAAATCTTAATGGCATTTTTACAAGAATAAAAAAAATTCTAAAATTCATATGGAACCACTAAAGACCATGACTAGCCAAATCATTCTTGAGAAAGAAGAACAAAGCTGAAGGCAACACATTTCCTACATTTGAACTATATTACAAAGCTACAGAAAAAAAAAAAAACCCAACCAGTATAGTACTGGCAGAAGACAGACATACAGAGCAATGGAACAGAATAGAGAGCCTAGAAATAAATCCATGTGTATACAGTCAACTGATCTTTGACAATGGTGCCAAGAATACACAATGGGCAAAGGATAGTCTCTTCAACAGTGTTGGAAAAATTGGATATCCACACACAAAAGAATGAAGTATCTTCATTCATCACCATACACAAACTGGATTAAAGCCTTAAATGTAAGACCCACTACTGTAAAGCTCCTAGAAGAAAACATAGGAGGAAATCCCCATAATATTGGTCTTGGCAATGATTTCATTGATATGACACCAAAATCATAGGCAACAAAAACAAAAATAAACAATTGGGACTATATCAAACTAAAAAGCTTCTGCACAGCAAAATAAACATCAACAGAGTGAAAGGCAACTTATGGAATGGGAGAATATTTGCAAACCATATGTCTGATAGGAATTATTCTCCAAAATATATAAAGAACTCCTATAACTCAATAGCAAAGAAAAAAAAAACCCTAATAACCCAATTAAAGGAATTTAATAGACAATTCTCCAAAGATGACATACAAATAGCCAACAGGTATATGAAAAAATACTCAGTGGCACTAATCATCAAGGAAATGCAAGTCAAAACCACAATGAGGAAGACATTGGTACTTTGAGATGGGAGTCTGCCAACCTCCTCACTTGCCAACAAATTAATAAACTCCTCTTTCCTTCTCAAAAAAAAAAACAAAACACAATGAGTTATCACCTCACACCTGTTAGGATAGCTGTTAAAAAAAAGACAAGAAGTGCTGGAGAGGATGTGGAGAAATTGGAACCCTTACACACTGTTGGTGGGAATGCAAAATGCTGTAGCCACCATGGTAAACAGTGTGGAGGTTCCTCAAAAAATTAAAAATAGAACTACCATAAGATCCAGCAATCCGATTTCTGGGTATTTATCCAAAAGAATTGAAATCAGGATCTCTAAGAGATATTAGCACTCCTATATTCATTGCAGCATTATTCACAATAGCCAAGATGTGGAAACAGTGTCCACAGACACTGGAGAGACAAATGAATAAGGAAAATGTAGTATATATATATATATAATGGAACATGGAACACTATTCAATCTTAAAAAAATGAAGGAAATTCTGCAATGCGTGACAACATGAGTGAACATTGAGGACATTATGTTAAGTGAACTAAGCCAGTCACAGAAAGACAAATACTGCATGATTCCACTTATATAAGGTATCTAAAATAGTCAAATTCATAGAACCATAGAGTGGAATGCTGTTGGCCAGCAGCTAGTGGGAGGAAATAGGGACTTATCAACAGGCATAACGTTTCAGTCAAGCAAGATGAATAAGCCCTAGAGATCTACCACACAACATTGTACCTAAAGTCAAAAATAATCTACTGTACACTTAAAAATTTGTTGAGGGTAGATCTCATGTTAAATGTTCTTGCCACATTTTTTAAAAAGCCATATGGAATGTTATAGTATGGAAGCTTCATTTCATACCTTGTTATAGTTGCTATTATGATAATCAATAGTAATTTAAGCACTTGCATTTAGATAGCAAAGAAGAGGGGTCAAGGGAAGAAAAAAGAGCCGACATTTACTGTGCTAATTTCAGATATTTATACACATTACATTTAAACATTATACCTGTGAGACAAGTAATTATTATTAATATATCCATTTTGCAGATGAAAAAACTGAGTTCCAGAAAAATGAAGTATAAAAACTTGTCTGAGGTCACAAAGCTAGCAGGGGTACAGTTATTAATCAGTTATCTAACTTCATAAAACAGCTTTGGCTTTTAGCGAGTACTCCAGCACTGACTGGCTGAATTATGCTTGGAAAAAGGCCAATATGGCTGTTCTACTTAGAAATGCACTTCAAGAGAAAGGAAAAGGCATAATTTAAAATCTAGAAGACATATTATGTATTTTTAAAATCTACAGTATATCTTTGAGGTCTTTAGAAGAGTTAGATGTACCTTTTAAAGGCACCTCTGTACAACCAAACACACCATAAGGAAATAGGAATTCTTAAGATAGTAATTTTTATACTTCCTAATTTTTTACATATTTTTGATAGGCTTGTAAATTTGGAGCTCTATATTCAGGGAGTATGGTAAAATTATAGGAATTATAACCCCTGACTTCGAGGATTTTACAATTAAAAAATCTTATCATAAATATAGCCATGTAACTATAGAACTCAAAATTGGAATACTTCAATAAAATCCAAAATATATGCACATCTTTTAGCATTTACTTTCATAGCATTTTTATGGAAAAACTCATGCATTCAGTTAATTAACATTTACTAAGCACCTTGGATATGCGCAGGACCATGCTAAGCACTGGGGATTAGAGGTGAATAAAGCAGTCCCCACTCAAAAGGAAATCACTGTGGGAAAGAGGATCTGTAAATAGGTCAATGATGAGTAATGTTAAATGCCAAAATAAAGGTATGGACATATCCCCAAACTATACAAAACTAATATACTCCCTATGGGCTAAACACTTTGAGGAAATAAATTAACTCAGAACAGTAAAATTCAAGGCAGTCAGTATTTATTTATTTATTATTTTTAATTTTTTTTTTTAGAGACAGGGTCTCACTATGTTGCCCAGACTGGTCTCAAACTCCTAAGCTCAAATGATCCTCCCACTTCAGCCTCCTGAGTAGCTGGGACTATAGGCAAGCAACCATGCCCGGCTCTCAAGGCAGTTAATATTTATGTTGCTATTGCCATTCCCATTTTGTCTATAAGGGTTGACCGTCAACTTTCCTATATAGGTTTTTATGTATGAAAGTCTGTGATATTTTATTTTGGATATTAATTCTATCATTGGTTTTACTGTCTCTATTTAGCTTTACTTAATTCCATTTCATAAAATGTAATTTTTCATAATCTAATACTGTTACATGCCATTGTTACAACTTAGTTATTAGTTTCAAAGCAGAATGCTTTTAATTCTTTGTATGCTACAGGTAACTTTGAAACAATGCATCACATAGTTCCTGTTTATTACCCACAGATGGGTAAGCCAAAATTAGTCTTTTTCTCTGAAATACAGAGATACCCTGTAAATGGAAATGCATCTCCAGAAAGCTCCCACGAAGATAATACTAAAATTATTGAAGAGATGGGGTAGGTTCTTTCAAATATTTGTGTGATTTATCTTCTTTGGTCGGGGGACGAGACACCCTCACTGTCAACAACACAGAGGAAGAGAAGCCCTCCATCTGCCTCCTAGTTCTCTGTTCTCAATCCTTCTTGGCCAAACACGGAAAGAAAAAGAGTTCATTGTTGGTCTGTCCAAATAGTCACAAAGTTGCAGTGGGAAAGGCTGGTTCCAGAAGAGTTTGGGAGTTACAAACTATATATACCCACCGAGGGTAGTGCAGGTGACTCAGGACAGTCCCAGAAGCAGTAGGTAAAGATGCCTGAGGCCCAGTTGATGATGGGTCCACCAGTGGGTGGGAGACTGCAGTAAAAGGATATAGGTGCAGAAAGGAGAAATCCAGAGGACTACAAAGGTAGGCTATTTTTATCACTTCTCCAAACTAACGGTTCTTAACCTCTTGTCTCTGAAGGAGACATTAGAAGTTTCATTCGATTCTCAAAGGGGTTTATGATCCAAAAAATAGTTTAAGAATCACTATTCTAAACCTTGAGCATATATATAATTTAGCTCCATATGAATTAGCTCTAAATCTCCTGATGAGGAGAAAACTGCTTTTTGGTTTAAAAAAAAATGACATCACTTTGATGTAAAAATAAACCATACCAGAAAATAACTTCATTTATTCATAAAACATTAGATGTATGCCATATGCTGGGCAACACTGAATATAAAAACTCAAATGAGACAATCCTGATCTCAAATACTTCTCAACGAGCTAGTTGAGGAGTCAAATGTGATACAGTTACCCTACAGTATGGTAAGTGTTGTGGACATTATAAACCAGATCATAATAAATCCTATAAATTTTTCATTCAACTTATTTTTTCATTTATAATGAATATAATGATTGCTCTATTGATCTTTATAATAATATACTAGTCATCACAATATAATAAAGAACAATAGCATATTTCATTGAGAAAGTAATTAGAGCCAGTAGACATACCTAGGAATAGTTTTCCTTTTCCCAGACTGCCTGCTGAAGGTCAAGTGGGTTTGTCATGAGACCCTCTTTGCAAGGTCCAGTCAAGGGATCATGATTTAGCATTTCCTAGTAGAGCCCACCTGAAGAAGCCCCATGAACAACACTGCTGCACTGTCCTACGCCTATTCCATACTGAGTGGCTCTGGCCTGCCAGGATGCAGGCTTAGGGGAGAGGTCTGTGAGTCTGGAACATACTTTACTTGGAGAGAGGCAAAAGGATAAGCAGGGAGTCCTCATTTTGGTCTTGCCTCTATTCACAATAAAACCAGTGCTGTGTGACAATTTGTGGCTTATGTCCATTCTCATTACCATAAAAACCACAGCTTGTCCACAGCACCCCAATAGTTTCTTAAAGATGTATACAACTGTTATCAATTCCACAACAGTGTTCTTGAGTTTTGTTTTTCTTTGCCAAGCATTTTGAAAAGTCTTACTAGTATATTATCAATGTGGAAAATAAAACAAAAATGTACATAGCCTCAGAAAACAACATTGGTGAATTCTATACATTGACACATACACTAGTTAGATTGACACTACACTAGTAGTGAGCTGTGGCACATACCACATATTTTATAGCCCTGAGCAAAGCTCAAATCACTAGGAGTGCACTAATAGAATAGCAAATAAATCACTCTACCCTCATTTTCCTAACTAGGAATACTAAATACTTAGCTAAATGCAGTTCTAAAATATAAACTACAATGTACGACAAAGATAGTCTATCCTAAATGAAACTAGCAGAATAGAGGTATTCCTGGTGAAAAGAACACAAAGAATGTCCTGCCTCTGCCACCATCTGTAAAGTCAAATACATTCAATCCTTAGTCTTCAGTTTTATATCTTGTGAAAAAACAGTACATAAATATTTTCTTTTAAATGTTTATTATTTCCTCAGGTAACATTTTCACTGTGGGCATGCCAAAATACTGTTTTGGTATCTCAAAAGATTCAAGTCATATTAGATAGGAGTATCAGTTATACTTCTCTTTAATAAAAGGTGATCAAATATATTATGGAATTTCATCAAGCTCCTGATATAGATTTTTAGGATATGCCTATTACTAACATTTTGCTAATTTAACATAAAGCTAAGAGATAATAAGAATAAAGCAAGAGGGTCAGTAAAATGTAAAAATCAAAATACCCAGCCCAAACACAAAGAATAGATTTTCAGTTTCTAGAAAACTGATTAAAGCAATCCCTCCCTTTAATTACTTTAAGGGAAAGAATGAGCTGGCATCAGCAGACATATCCCCTACAGTCTATATTTAATATTCAAGGTGGGGAGCCTGCTCAGAGGTAGAAATAAGCTTGGAGAGCATCTTCTAGAAAAAAAGTATATGCCCCACACTCCTTTAGGGTTATACACACTGGGGGCTGTGCCTGTATCCTACATGGAGCACAGTGAAGCAACATCTGTCCAAAGACGGGAATGTTTTCCACCTCTTTTATAAATGCATGCAATCTGTGCTCATGTATATTTATATAAGCCTGCTTTTCCTACAGGGAGGAAAAAGTCAGTCTCATTGACGTTGTTTTTGACCCTCAAACTGAACTTGATACTATCAATGTACACTTTAATTAAAGATTAGGTCAAAACTATTTTTTATTTAAAGCCTGATTCTGAACAAATGCCTTCACTGTTCAATTAAAAATAATACATGGTATTAAACAAACAAAAAAGGTACACATTATTGCTTCTTTCTGTGTTTGTCACAGTAAATACTTCTGACAGATGTTTCCTCTCTTTTTAAACATGCTAGGAGGTGCTTGAGCCTTAGTAATTTAAAATAGACATTAAATACATTTATATATTGCGTATAAGACCCACTGAGAATATTGTACGGCATTGTACAATGAAAAAAGTAAGTTGTTACTTGATTATTTAACTGTCTTTCAAGCCCAAGCAATGTTAATAGAGTCATTACATCTCTTTTGTTAGTATAAAAATAATAACTTTCTAGCTGGGTTAGAATGCCCTTAAATTTCAGATACCTTTAAGGAATGTGAATCACTGGGACACGTAATTCACAGGAAATGTTCACTGTTAGAAATGTTAACTATTTCTAAAATCCCTAGTTTCTTTTTTGTTAGAATATGAAACCATTAGGTTTCTTTGAATTAAAAAGTGAACGTTAATAACAGTTAAACTAACTTTCCTTCACCACTGGCAAGGTTGTATTTGAACAGTTGTAACAACAGATCTATGTGCTTCAAGAAGAATTTTTAAAACTCCCATTTTTAATCACAAAACTCTGGGATGGTCTTATTTAAAGATCAAAATGCAAAGTTTGAATGCTTAGAACTATACTTTGTTAAACCTAACCTCAGTCTATTTAATTTTATATGCAAAATAAGCTTGTGTAAATCAATAATGTAGGCATAATGTTAACATTTTGATTTGCAGTTCTCAAAGAACCCCTTTGAAATTAGGATATTCCCCCCCTAAAAAAAAGCAATAGTGGTAAGCAACATAAGTTTTTTAGTTAAAACAGTCTAAATGAGTCTAGTCTCAACTCTGTCAATGGTTTACTCTGTGAGCAAAAGTTATATAAGACCTAATTCAAAAGAATAATATTAGTTATTTTCCGTTTTAAAATATTTTGAAGGCTGAACCTTCATTACCCAAACAAATTTTAAGACAGTGGGACTCTTGTAAGAATACCCATTTTGCAGCCTGGCATGGTGGCTCATGCTTATAATACCAGCACTCCAAGAGGCCAAGGCAGGAGGATAGCTTGAGGCCAGGAAGTTGAGACCAGCTTGTACAATATAGCCAGATCCCATCTCCACATTAAAAAAAATTAGGCAGGAGTGGTGGTGCATGCCTGTAGTCCCAGCTACTCTGGAAGATGAGGTGGGAGGATTGCTTGAGCCCAGGAGTTCAAGGCTACAGTGAGCTATGATCCCACTGCACTCCAGTCTGGGCTACAGAGTGAGACTCCATTTCTAAAAAAAAATATCCATTTTATAGATGGGAAAAGGAGGCTTGGAGAGGTGCAGTCAGAGGGACCTAAGGTCACACAGCTGCCATGAATAGAGCTGAGTCTTGAACCCAACTCACTGACTTTAACAGCAAAGCTCTCAACTATTTTTCTAGGGGTTCTCAAACAAAAATGCCCTCAGAACAGGCAGATCCAGTGAGTGAGTACAGCTGAGGGGGTAACTAAGATGAACTAAAGAGTACATACCCAACTAAAGGCAACTGTAGCTACTTGGCTCCAGAACATTGTGGCCAGGTGGACATGCAGAACTTGAGAAATTACACTAGCTGGTAAGCAAAATATCTAGATTGTGAAATCATCTGATTTAAAAATATTGGCTCAATCTTCTTTCTTAAAAAAAATAACATGTATCAGAATGGATAAAAGGAAAAAAACGAAAACAAAAAAACCTAGTAATGCTGGCTAGGATATGGAGCAACTGGCACTCTCATGCAAGAATAGTATAGACCTGCAGACCCCAACTCCCAGGCCATGGACTGGTTCCAGACTATGGCCTGTTAGCCACACAGCAGGCAGTGAGTGGCAGGTGAGCGAACAAAGCTTCACCTGTATTTACATCCGCTTCCCGTCAGCCGTATCACCACATAAGCGCCACCTCCTATCAGATGAGCAGTGCTATTAGGTTCTCCTAGGAGCATGAACCCTACTGTAAACTGCACATGCAAGGGATCTAGGTTGCGCTCTCCTTATGAGGATCCATTGCCTGATGATCTGAAGTGGAGCTGAGGTGGTGATGCTAGCGCTGGAAGCTAGTGCTGGGGAGTTGCTACAAATGGATTATCATTAGCAGAGAGGTTTCAGTGCACAATAAACGTAATGTGCTTGAATCATCCCCAAACCATCTCTGCCCACCGCCCCCTTCTGGCCCATGAAAATTGTCTTCCATGAAACTGGTCCCTGGTGCCAAAAATGTTGTGGACTGCTGGTATACACAATTTGGACAATAATTACGTGACAGGGTCTTGCTCTGTCACCCAGGCTGAAGTGTAGTAGCCCGATCACAGCTCACTGTAACCTAGAATTCCTGGGCTCAAGTGATTCTACTGCCCCAGCCTCGTGCGTAGCTGGGACTACAGGCATGTGCCACCATGCCCAGCTAATTTTTAAATTTTTTTGTAGAGATGGGTCTCACTATGTTGCCCAGGCTTGACATATCCTTATAAAGTTAAACATATACTGACCACATCTAGAGTCCCCCTCCTAGATATTTTCCCAAGTAAAATGAAAACCTATACTCGTAAAAATCTGTACCTTAATGTTTATAATGGTTTATTCCTTATCATCAAAAACTGGAAACAATCCAAAGGTGTCTCAGCTGGGGAATGGATAAAAAAACTATGGTACATCTATGCAATTGAATATCATTCAGCAACAAAAAGGAATGAACTATTGATGTACTCAACAACATGGAAGGATTGCAAAAGCATTATGCTAAGTGAAAGCAGACAGACTTAAAAGGCTACATACTGTATGCTTCTACTTGTATAACATTCTGGCAAAGACAAAACCATAGAGACAGAAAACAGATCGGTAGCTGCCAGGGACTACTGGGGCTGGGTACAATGGTTGACTACAAATGATCAGCACAAGGGAATTTTGGAAGTGAGGGAAGTGCTCTGTATCTTTATTGTGGTGGTGGTTACAAGATTGTATATGTTTATCAAAACTTGCTGAACTATACACTCGAAAGGGTGAATTTAACTATGTAAATTACAACTTAATTTAGACAATAAAGGAAATAGCTGAAAGGCAAAAAAAGAACCAATTAATCTATTTTAAATACATATAAAACATTTTAATATTTTATATATAAAACATTTTCTTCACTGATATATATAATTATTTTGCATTATGAAGACAGTCTTAAGTTAATATTGCAAATTATTTGACAAATTTAGAAAAAAAGACATAATTTTAAGACCTATATGCCACATTCAGTGAAATAAAATCTATAGCACTGTAAAGCCATGTACTTTTGGAATAGTAGACAATTAAGAACTCCTAAGAAAGATATACTATGAAAATAGTATTTGGATTGTTAACAGGGAGTCACATTACTTAAAGGATGCCCTTTATTGAGATAGTAAATTTAAAACGTTTTGCAAATTATAAAACACAAATCTTAAAAAGAATAGTATGGGTAAAGAGCACAAGTGTTAGTGTCAATCTGCCTGGCTTGAATCCTGTCTCTGACACTTACTAGCTATGTGACCTTGGACAAGTTATCTAATCCCTCTGAATTTTATTTTCTCAACTGTAAAATGTAAAATCCTCAAAGAGTTTTTGTAAAGGCTAAATAAGAAAATAACTGTTAAGCACTTAGCATATACAAAGTGCTAAATAAGTGGCACCTGTTACTAATTATTTATGTAATGTTAGAAATTTTGAGATTTTTATACTTTGAATTAAACTGCAAGTACAAGTTTCCTTTAGGAATTAGGACTACTCCGTAAGCATCACAGGCTTCAGAGAGGCTCCTTGGAGTAGCAGCAGTAAGGACAAGTGGGCAGCCCGCAGTGGTCAGTCGTTACCTCAGTCCTTCCTTCTGCACCTGCAACATGGCTGGCCACTGTCCCACCACTGTTAGCAGTGATGAGCCTCTGTAGCCCCTTGATCCCACCTTGGAGACTCTAGCAGGCTGGGTTATTATGAGGCATGTGAGGTGCCAAGGTGCAAAATTCAAGGAGCCCCAGACAACTCACTTGCCTGGCCCCAGTCTTGGCCCACCTTCCCTCCAATATTCTTATTTCCATATCTCTCTCAACTCATAGATTCTTCACATTCTTCCCTCCCTCAAGAGGAAAATCTTTGTTTCTGCTTCCTTTAAAGCCTGAGAAGATTCCTACAGTTTGGTGATTAATCATTAGGCTTTACTATTGTTATTGTGTCCTACATTCTATATGTTTGCTACCTTTTTGTGACACTTTCATTTTTTAAATTTAACGCTGTTTTTTTTTCTCTATATAAATACAGGAACCTCTCTTTGAAAAAATCTGAAAGCTTGCTGACAAAAAATGATTTGCATGAACCTCACCTTCTCGATAACACGGAAGTATAAGAAAATTTGTAGAAAACAAGTAAATTCAGCCTCAAGTGATCTGAAACGTTCGATTTTTTTTTAACTTTATAGGACTAGGCAACATCTTTTGTAGGTTTGTAGTTTTACGGCATCTCATTACATTAAAAAAACCTTTAAGTTCCTGTTTGATTTGCTTCTTTATACAATCTGAAACATTGCTTTCCAAATGTGAATTCAGGGATCTAGTAATGGCTTTATACTTCATCACATACACTTTACTGAGAAAAGATGTGCTTTCTCACTCAGCCGTGGAAATCCTTTTTGAATCAATGGAATTTTGGTGTGCCGCTTTCTAAAGTGTAAATGTAATTACAGTTATCGGACGAGAATTGAGATTAAAGACTAAAGATCATTCTGATTCACTAACATAATGTGTGGGCCGGTACATCCAAATAGCGCCACAATTACTAATGACCGCTTGGTACAATAGTTCCAATTTATAAACCTACTGGAAAGTATGAGGTTATGTTGCATACACAAGAGCAGTTTCTTTGGTGACATTTAAAATTTGATATTACGTTTTGACCCCAAAGAAGAAAATGTCCTGCTCTTTAAATTGTAGGCATTGTTTCGAGTGTACCCTAATTACGTTGCTAGAAAGTATCTTACGTCCGCTCAGACGTCCCCCTACGAAGACGACGGGTCCAGGACCCGCGGAAGCCACGGAGGATTGGGGGCGTCCGGGCCCAGCGCTTCCCCGGGCGGCTCTGAACGGGCCTCGGGGCGCAGCGCCCACTTTCCAAGGGAGCCTTGGATCGGACCCTCCGCGCACCGCTGTAAGCCGCGCTTCCCGCGGGTCCACAAGTGCAAAGCCATGAACGAATTGTACGTCCAAATAATGTAAGAGCGGTGGCCCCGCAGGGGCAACGAAGGCGGCCAGCCAGGGTCCGCGCTCCCGAGGAGCAGCGACCGCCACCTCAGTGCTGTCGCTGTTTTGGGAGCTTCCTAAAGGATTGCAACGGGAGCATTCGGGGTCTTCACGGAGAGGCAGTTTACCGGCGAGCGCCTCCATAAACTGGCCAGGGAGTACCGAGGGACTCCTGCTTTAGGTAATCAGGGCGGCAAGAAACGTTTACCTTGTGGTGGCATGAAAGGTTAGAACCTCGATGTGGCACACTCGACGTTTCCTCAGAGAAAATTAAAAGTCACGCTCAACCAAACGGCAGCGTTCCCGCCTCAGCTGGGTGCCGGCCTGGAAGAAGCCCCGAATCGGACCGGGCCTGAGGCTGTGGGACGGCGGCGGGGCGAGGTGACTCACGAGGCCTCGCCCGCGGTATCGAGCCCAGGCCGACGCTACTGCCGCCAACTTGGCGGGGCCGGCGCCGGACGGAGGGGCGGGGCCAGGCGGACGTCCCGCCCCCCACAGCGGTTTGATTAATGACTCTCCGGCTGCCTAGGGGGTGGCTCTGCGCGGCCTCAGCCCCCGGCGTAGTCCCTCTGGTGGGCGCAGAACTCCCCCGCCCCGACCTGCGCCGCCTGCCGAGGCACACCCGCCTGGCCGCGGGGGCGCCCACATAAAAGGCGTGGCCAGCGGGATCTGGCAGTGGCCGTCGGCTTCGTCTTCGGCTGGAAGAGGATGGAGTGAGCAGCGCGGCCCAGGCCACGCAGACCCGGCTCGACGCCCCTCGCCCGGCGGAGCCGAGCCCCACTCAGCCGCTCCAGGAGAGGTGAGCGCCCGGTCCGATGCGCGCCGCGCGGTTCCCGGCTCCGAGCGGTAACGGGTGCCGTAGTCCGAGGTGAGGCTAGGGGGTCCCGCACTCCTCGGGCAGGAATTCCCCCGGCGCGAGTGACCTGAGGGCAGCTGGCGTGCCGCGACCCGTGCCCCCTTTCCTGCGGGGCTGGCCAGATTACATTGCCGAAGGGCGAGCAAGTGTCTAACCCGAGCTGTGCTTCCAAGATCTTCCTTCCCGGGTGAAATAGCCCATTCGCTTAATTTGTCCTTTATAAGCAGAGCTGGCACCGCTCCCCTCTCCTCATCCTTCTGAGGAGCGGGGAACCCCGCTCTCCCCCGACGCCCAGAGGCAAAACGCGCCCGGTGCAGAAGGAGCCCGGAGAGCGCCCCGAGCCACGTCGGGCGGCCGCGCGGAGAGAAGCGCCCCGGCCTCACCGCGCTTTCGCCCTTTGCAGTGCGCGCTGCGCGGGAAGCCGCCATGGACCGCGGACGCCCCGCGAGTAGCCGCCTAAGCGCCGGCGCCGAGCCTGCTCCCGCGGCCTCCGCCACCCGCGACTCGAGCCCCGCGCGGGCCGGGACGGGGCCGGCGGGCACCGGGGGCGGCGCGCGTTCCGGAGGCGGGCGGCCGGCGGCGGCGAACGCGGCGCGGGAGCGCAGCCGCGTGCAGACCCTGCGGCACGCCTTCCTGGAGCTGCAGCGCACGCTGCCGTCCGTGCCGCCCGACACCAAGCTGTCCAAGCTGGACGTGCTGCTGCTGGCTACCACCTACATCGCGCACCTCACCCGCAGCCTGCAGGACGATGCCGAGGCGCCAGCGGACCCTGGACTGGGCGCCCTGCGCGGCGACGGCTACCTGCACCCTGTCAAGGTAAGCGGGCAGGGCGCCCTGCAGGGAGCAGGACAACCTGGCCTGCCCTAGCTGTCACTGTCTGCGTAGATGCCACCGAGCCCTCACTCCTCCCTGCGAGTGAGGTGGGGCACTGAGCAGGAGAGCACCGCAAGGGCACCGGTGGCAAGGACCCCATTACAAGAGATGCTGCTTTAAAGGTTAGCAGGTAGTGGGTGAGGCGTTTAAACCTGGGAGGTTTGGGTAGGGGCCTGTGAGGCCCCATACGGGAGGCAGTCTAAGGATTTGTGCTGCCTTCCAAGGTGAGAAATGGGGACTTGGAGTTACATATATGATCCTTTGAGAATTTTTGAGTGTTTTAATTTACGTAATGACCCTTCTATTGTATTTTTATGGGATATTTGAAGGATTTCATGCATTAAATGGAGTAATGGAATTATCTGCCCCTAAGAGATCCTAGGAAAACTGTTGAAATTTTTTTGGTAAAATGAGTAAGAACCCCCATGGAGTACTATTTCAGTCTGTTTAAATAAAGGATGATTATCATGGACTGGACAGCTACCAAGAATGTTAGAAAAAACTACATTTCTTTAATGTAATTTTCATAATAGATTGGCATATATGTTGAGTGAATTGATTAAACACTACATTCAAATTCTGTAATGTACAGAATTAGCCAAGAAAACCCATTTTGTATAATTTCTTTATAGGTAGAATGGTAACTAACAGTTTTCACTTGATATGGTGTATATGGTTATGATTTATTACCTATATTACATTAATTAGTCTTTGCATGATCCTTTTCTCCTAGATTTGTTTTGAAAACTTACACTGATTGGGCTTTCTGTTCAAAAAGTGTCATCTTCTCTATATTTGCTAAAGCTAAATTGTCAAAATTTCATTTCCACCATTCTAAAGTATTTTGACACACACACACAAATACAAAGTTAGGATTCAGCCTTAAGCATACCAGTGTTCAATAAATTATTAAGTAATCATTATTGAAATATGGTAAAGCACACCCTCTAGTATTAACTGAACTTAATTGTAAGTTACAATTAACTTATTACAATGTAATATCAGCTAACATTAG